GTTGTGACCAACAGAAGAGCTGATACGAGCAGGGAGAGACGTCAAGGGACGGGACAATGAGGCCACGTATCATATCTTAAATTTTGTTGAACAAATGACAACAGCAGAAGGAAAAGGATTATCAGCGCTGGCTAGAAGAGAAAGAATACCAGCATCAACAGAAGAAAGAGAGGTATGAAAGAAAGCAAGCTAAATTACATTGGAATTGTCCTTTCTTCAGACATTGCTGGAATAAAGATTTAAAATTGTCTACTAGAAATAATTGCCCAGACTAACCATCGGTCTATCCATGTTCGAGATGAGTATCATCATAATATGGATCGATGCTTAAAAAATATAAGTGTTTATGATCGGCTTGGAAAGCGAGTTGTTGATCAAAACTGGGCTGATTATGAAGAAGAAAATAATGAGGAAGAATATGTTTGGCACAAAGGACAATGGTGTCTAGGAGGTTTAACAAGAAGCCAGAAAAGAAGAGTACAACGCCTAAGGAACAGAGAGCTAGAACAGGCTCAGGCATCAGGTAGACCTCAAGTGTGGAGTGCTAAACAAACAGCCGATAGGGGTCAACCATCGGCTAACATTCAAATGACTTTTCTGTTGCCTTCAGAATTCAGAGCTCCAGCAGATCAAAAAGTCTATTCAGATTTTGACGAATCGGGATATGAGAAGATAGTTGCCAAGTTTACAGTTGTACAACAAGCTACATTCGATAAGCCAGTCAAGCATCGGCACTTAAAGGCTTTATATGTAAAAGGTTTTGTCGATGGGAAGCCGATGAGCAAAATGTCGGTGAATGGAGGTGCTTCTGTCAATCTTATGTCTTATACCACTTTTCGTAAACTTGGCAAGGAACCAGAAAATTTAATTGAGACCGACATGATGCTTAAGGATTTTGGGGTAATGCATCCAAGACCAGGGGGCAATAAACGTCGAACTAACAATCGGAAGTAAGACTTTGCTCACCACATTCTTTGTCATTGGTGAAAAATGTTCATACAGTTTACTCCTTGATCGTGATTGGATTCATATAAATTGTTGTGTACCATCAACCATGCATCAATGTTTGATTCAGTGGTATGGAGATGATGTTGAGCTGGTTCACGCTGATGAATCTGTGAGTATCGCAATAGCTGATCTAATGTATTGGGAGCTAGAAGGCTTCGAATGTTTTTCTGGTAAGCTATGAGAAGGAGGCTTCATTAAGATCAATGATGAAAGCCAACAAATATCCCAACGATCTGTTTAAACTAAGCATATTTATTTCAGTTGCATAGAAACGTATGTCCTCTGCAATGTCTGCCCTTTTATCACTGTCTGATATGCTTATGAAGTCTGTCATTTAGTCTGGGTTCATCACTCATGGGTCAGTTCGCTGGTCTGGATTCATCCAGCTAGCCGGCTGATCCTCCTCACAGTTCACTATTCACCAAACCAGCTGAACAGTGTTTTTCTCTCACAACAAACAAGCCGAAACAGTGTTTTTCAGCCAAGTTTCAGACCAGCAAACGAGGCCCATGAGACAACTTGCAACATGTTCAGAACCACCAGACATACATTTGCTGTTATGCAGATTATATGTTGCATACTTTCTTTATTTGCAACAACAATGCACACTATCTAAACCTATTGCATTGTTGTTTGATATGCATCTCTTGACTAAAATTGGATGAGATTACTTAGGCTAGCTCCTTTCCTTGCATAGCAGTGGTAGGCTGGAGTCGGCACCAGTGCTCATGGTGAGACCACTGAGACCCTACCGTCATGGAGGCCAGCGTCCAAGCGCAGGACTCATGGTACCCAGGTCCACAACATGCCGGACACTAGGGCGTGACGACCTCAAGCGGCAGTTGTACATAGTTGTATCCCACCTTGTACATAGTTGTAAACGTTAACTATGCAATTTTATTGCCGATGCGACCTTGCTCTTTTTTTGGGGGTTAAAACTGTATAATAATTTATGGTTGACTATTGTCACTATTATGAGACAATCATAATACTAATTTTTTTATTGGTCAAGGCCAAGATGACTAAGGTATTATTTGCTACTACTTCCCGATAGGTCGCACTATCGTAGTATGCTTTATCTCAACTGAATCCACTCCTATCTCATCATTCTTGTGCAGGTTGCAGCAATATGATCACTATGTAGCTGGTTGCAACAATCTAATCATTCTTGAACGACTTACAAGGATGGCCCATACTATGAATAAGGAAGAAAATTTATGCTAACTTTGAATTTTGATAGGTCACCATGGATAACCTATGAATTATTTTTAGGTTAACTATAATGGTATATTTGAACATATTTTCTTTCATATTTGGCTACTTAAATAAGATGCTCATGGATTAGGCCTTATTTAAATCTAGGATGTAAAGTTTTTGGACGTCACATCAGGTGTCATATCGGGGTGTCGTATGGGGTGTTCGGATACTAATAAAAAACAAATTACAGAATCCGTCAGTAATCCACGAGACGAATTTATTAAGCCTAATTAATCCGTCATTAGCACATGTGTTACTTTAGCGCCACGTTGTCAAATAATGGACTAATTAGGCTTAAAAGATTCGTCTCATAAATTAGTCGTAAACTGTGCAATTAGTTATTTTTTTAGTTTATATTTAATACTCTATACATGTGTCCAAACATTCGATGGGATAGAGAGTAAACTTTAGGGGAACGAACTAAACAAGGCCTTAGCCAAACAAGTTAGACAATTTGCTCCTCAATCATGTTCTTTTGTATTATGAAAGAAAAGTAATTATTCTGGTATGTGTATCATGAATTCATGATTGGAGCAGCGAAAAAAATGGGTTAATTTTATACCTTGGCTTAATGTTGTGCTCCGGTCGCAACGCACGAGCACTCAACTAGTATTCTGGAACGTGCACGAAAGGGCTGAGGTAGAGGGGGCTAGGGGGCTGCGCCCCTCCCCCTCAAAGAGCCTACTAATCTCGCATTAGTTTCTTAAATATTGGTGTTTATTAGTTCATTTATGAAGGTATGGCTCCCTCAGTTGGAGTTGTCCCTCCTATCTCTAAGTTTTTGCTCCGCTCCTGTGTGCACCTACACCTACCTGATCAGCAGTTTGGTACTGTTTATACTAATAGGTCCTGATCATTGTCTTGTATTTGAATCCAACATGTTGCACTCTAGTGTGACCATGTGTATTTATGTAATCTATATAGCACAACAGATCACAAAATCATGTAAGAGCATCTTCAAAAGTCTTTCTAAAATTTACTCTCTAAACCATTATTTGAAGAGTCATTTGAGTAACAATCGATTTCTATATCTTTGTGTCCTCCAAGAGTTTTTTAATATCTTGTACGCATTCTAGAGAGTCATCCTTGTTCTCTATCTTCGGCTAGCGAAAAATTCAAAATAAAGGATATTTATATTTGGAGATGGAATTAAGGAGGTCGTTGGAGGGTATTCTTTAACAAAATATCTATTCCTGTCCTATAAATTAAATTAGAAAGGATATAACTCTTGCAGTTGCTCCAATGGAAATGTGGGTTGAGACCCGCCTCAGTTACCTGGACCTCCTCAAATATGCGTGCAGCCCGCATAAGGTTTGGGTGGGCCGAAATCGGATCTAGTACTCAGTTCGACCTTTGGACTTGCTCATCTGGGTGCGTTTGGTTCGAGGGATGAGATGGTCCATATTCTTCTCACTCCTCACATTTTTATTTGGTTTGTGGAATATAATGGTTGATCCATCACCACCTCATTTCTCACGAGCTAATAATTAGTATACAGAGAATGAGTTGATTCCACCAAAGTTCATGCGATTTTTTTTTTTTTTTTTTTGAGAATACCAAAACTCATGAGGTGAGCTCGTGAAGCATGGGTGACTTTGCACAAACCAAACACACTCCGGCCCATACGTCTCAGCTTGTGAGGCCAATCGTCCTGGCCTCATTCCCCCCTTAGGCCCATCAACAAGCCACGCTGCTCTCGTCTGTGGGCCGGCTCCCTCGCGTTCCCCCTTTCTGGCCGGCTTCCTCCTCCTCGCCCACCGCCGACGCAAAAAACCCCGCCCCCCAATTCCAATCTCGCCGCCGGCGCTCCGCTTCGCACCGCCAGGAGCAGCCTGTCCTCCCTCCGATCCGCACTCGCCCGCGTTGGAGTTGGGGAACGAACGTCTCCCTCTCCGTTGCTCCCCCTGCTAGCATCAGTTGGCGCTGGAATTGGTATGCGTCTTTCTCGATCTACTCTCCTCAACTCCTATCTACCCGCGCACATATCTTCCTTTCTACAGAGTCCTCTGCTTTGCAAATTCATGCCTGCTGCTTGGGATGGACGAAAACGTAATCATCAGTATTCATTGAACATTGCTAACTAATAGTAACATATTTATTCTAGCTCTTATGAGAAATACAAACTAGTATTATATTTCAACAGCTACAGGAACACCACTGTTCTTATTATAAACATATTTAACTGTACAAGTGCCCCACTCATTGTTCATCCCCTATTCTGGCTTCATGCATGATACACCTTGATTGTGTATTTGGCACTCACATCAAAGTCTAGACTAGATGACACTGATTGGTCACGAACTCACGATTAGTTCAACACTGATTGCTCACTATGAGTTTATGAGATCTTCAGTAGTACTGTAACAACTAAAATGGCAGGGAACAACACTGTTTCTAGTTAAGCTCTGTGCTATGCACGCACCAGAGATGTTTTTCAGGTCTGGTCCAATGTTCCCGTCACATCTGCACATTATATATAATACTAATAGTACAGCTTGACAGTTTCCTTCCCCTTTTGATGCTCACACTAATATATCTTTGTTCAAGTCTGTGTAGGAGATTGATCCTGATACCTCTCATAACTGCTGCCTCTATTTATTTGACTTTTCAAAGAGAGATTAATATGCTTCTACTCGCTAAAGGGTTACTACACCATGTGTGATGTTAATATTTGGCTCCTATTTCTGTGCCTGATGCTTTTCCCCCATTGTTTTTCCAACTGTAGGAGAATTCCTATGGAGACGATCTCATCCTGTCCCATCTGCAATATACAAGTTCTCACGGTTGAGCTGGAATGGTAATGGCGGATTCTTCTCCATGCTTCTGCAATTGAGCGTCTCCTCCCTTCTTCTTTTTCTCCCTGGCATTATACACAACATACCACTATCTTATGCAATGTTTGCCATAATCATTTGTAGGCATGCCAATAGCCACTTTGATGATGATCAACTCCAAAGGGACATGGAATTAGCACATCAGATGGCAATTGCTGAATCAAGTACAGGTACCATGGTAATAATCTCGCTTTGGCTGTTTTCTCTCACATTGTTTTAATAATAGTAGCTGTAGATCATGGTCCATTTCAATAATTGAAAGGTTTTCTCTGCATAGCACTTGCTGAATCTAGTAAAGATACCATGGAAATATTCTGCTCACAAGTTTATCCCTTTCGTATAAAAATAATATAGGTGTGGATCATTATTCATTTCAGTAGTACAATTTCTGTGTGGTTGGTAGGGGCGCCTTACAGTGTTCACATGTATTGTTTGAAAGACGCACATACTTACCTCCTAGTGCTGTTGCTGTTAAAACTTTCATTAGAGATATGCTTAGAATTCAGCAGAAATTGAAATACTGTTCTAATTATCCTGGTTTGTGATCCACTAGTCCAGAAACGCCTTGGTACTTGATGTTTTGCATTCCTTGTTTTGGCAGGGTTATAATTCAGCTGATCTTTTGTGCAGAATGACCCAAAACGTTATAGTGGATCATTCACCAGTGACTCCAATACTCTAGGGGCCTCATCGAGTCATAGTGGATACTCACGCCATTACAGCGAGCTATTGGATGAACAAATCTCTTGTTTGATCGGAGCACAAATTCGAAGCAAAGTTCAAGAAGTGGAAGGCTATATTATGAGCTTGTTGAGGGGCTGCTTGGAGTCAGAAGCTGGTTCCTTGACAAGTATGATATCAGGCTATATTGAGCATCATCAGAGTCTTTCATCAGAAGATAAGGGATGGGGATGTGGATGGAGAAATATTCAGATGCTGAGCTCTCATCTATTGAAGCAAAGACCAGAAGCTAGAGTAGTATTATTTGGTGGTTCTGGATTTGTTCCTGACATCCCTTCACTCCAGAGGTGGCTTGATATTGCTTGGGATAAAAAGTTTGATACGATTGGCTCCAGCCACTTTCATAACAAAGTTTATGGTGCCAATAAATGGATAGGGACTACAGAATGTGCTACCCTCTTCCGCTCGTTTGGCCTCCGCGCAAGGATTGTAGATTTTGATAGCACAGAATCATCTGACCTCCAAAGTAAGAACGGAAGGCGTGCAGCGAGTCAAGTACAAGGACCTATTGACAAGTTCTTAATAAAGAATAACTCTCCAAAATCATCGTCTGAACTTTGTCGAGAGGATGCTCAAAGTATGAGGAGGACAGGTCCTTGTTGACTGGGTTTGTAACTACTTTGCAAGTGAGTGTTCTGATAGATTTGCCACACAGCGTGTCACTGTCAGCAATAAAACGTAAGAGCTTATATGTCTCCCTTTTGAGAGATGTTCTATCCCATAATCTGAAATGCTTACAGTATCTACAAGTAACTTTGTTATAGTGTAACTAATAACGAGGTAGGTGCCATTCACAGGCCACTGTATTTTCAACATCAAGGTCATTCAAGGACAATAGTTGGGATTCAAAAGAAAATGGGTCATTGTGGATCTCAAGAACAATACACCCTTTTGATTTTAGATCCTGGCCATGTAAGTTACAGTTATCATTAATTTTATTGGTGTGAACTATTTTCCCTTTAGTTGTCAGTTAATTGTATTTAATTTCAGTCTATTTGAAGATCAGCTTATGGTGTAAGTTTGTTGGTTTCAAAGCTCAGCGAGTGTTGCGCTATTTGGTATTTTTGACTTTTCGTTCTTCATGCTTTTTGCTGAACAATTACTTTGAGGACCACCGACATAAACTGAACATCTGGTGTCTAGCTCGGCGTGGATGTATGTTTAGCTCTATAGAATATCTTCAGGCCCTCTTGCTTCCCATGTGAATAGACTCTTGTGATATTGATTGAGAAAGCAGCAGCTTAGACTTCAAAAGCACATGCCAACATTCGTTGTACCAAGTCGTTGTTTTGATGTGTTGCAACATATTGTGGATTATATTTCTTTGCTCTGGATCCTTATTTTGTATGCATAGTCCATTCTGAAACTGCTAGTGTAGACTTTGAATTGCTGTTTCTCTGTTAGTATGCTATTCAAATGTTTTCCTTTAATACCACAGAGAACTGCAGATCTAGAAAGGTCTCTAAGAAGCAAAAAGGGATGGCAGCGTCTGGTGAAGAGAGGTGTCCACACGCTCAGGAAGCCACAATATCAGGTACATCAAATGTCACAAAGTACATGAAATTGAGAAGGCTTACATGAATTTGTACACTTATATAATACATTATCTGGTGTACATGTCATGTTACCAGTTGTGTTATGTGGATCCTGGAATTGCTAGTTTAGAAGAGATGGAGCAACTGAAGGATATTAATAATGATAGTATACTAGTCAGGTTTTAGGTTCCTGGTGAGTATGAAAACCAACCCTGTCTTTCTTTGTTTATATATGTTAACAATAAAGATGTGCTGGGAAATTTGGATCACTAATCTTGTTATCCATTGTTCAGATTATGCGACAAAAACAAAATGAACAATTCAATTATGAGAAATTGTGTCTAACTAATTATTGGTTTTTCATACCACTGTTTTATCGATGCTTCATCGGTTATTTTGACCTAGCTCAATGCTGTATTTGTGCAGTATTACCTTGATGTTGTGAAGCATGTTTCTCTGATTTTCTTAATGGTTCAACAGAAAACAGGTCATTATCAATCTGTTGCCACCCTCCACGCCACGGTCCACGCCCAAGTTGTCACCGTACGTTCATCCTCTACATTGGATCAACCAACGTCCTACTCCAAGTGGGGAGGGCTTCATCTTCATCGTTTCGTTGGTGATAGTTAAAGAGTGTAGTGTCATTATCAATCCCATCTAATAATTTCTTCTCAATGCACATAATGTTGCTAAACCGTAAACCTTTCTTGAGTCGCTCCGGACCTTAAATATTTCTTCAACTGCTTTAATTTTGAAAAACTTTCATTGATCCAAGTTTGAAAAATCAATATCCAAACCATCCAAAAGATCATATAGAGCGTGAAGTTGTTCTGATGCAAAAATATCCCCAAGTAAACTTGACCCGTGGAGTGTCAACCCTGTTGTAGAATTTATGAAGAAACTTCAAAATCAGTGCTTTGTTCTGACTTCTGCCAGTCCACCATTTTCTTTAGCCCTGCAAAGCCTTAAGAGGCCCTTTGGTATGGATTCGCCGGCTCCGGCTCCGGCCCCACTGACAGCTGTGACACAGCACACTGAAGCTATACTCTTCATCGAATCTATTTTCCTCTCGACTCCTTTTCCCTCCACTGACACAGCCGGAGCCAGTTTTTCTGGCTTCTCTGGCGCTGGCTCTCGCGCGTCACCGTAGTGCTACAGTACCCCCTACAGTAGGGGCCCGGATCCGTCGGGAGCCCGGCCCCTTAGTAGGCTTTGGCTGATCCTTACCCTTTGTTTGCTGCAATTCCCCCTCTGCTCTTGGACCTCACTCGGTCACAGTGTTATCCTAAACGCTAAACGGTCAGTCCCCTGTCGTTTAGCCTATTATTCGAGGTGTTTAAACAGACTAAACGTCCATTTAAACGGTCACAACAACCAATTAAACGAAAATGATGTACCACCGTGTAACGTTTAAACGGTGTGTAAATAGACTAAACAACTGTTTAGGCGAACAGTGCTCAGTCGTGAGAAAACTGCACGCTATCCCTGCCCAGCGAACAACTGACAGCCATGAATAGTAAGTCTCCTGCAGATAAGATTACCAAACCCACAGACGTCCCAATTCCACAAAACCGACTGAATCCCAAAAGTTCTTTTTCCGTATAAAAAGAAAAAGAAAACACGAGATCAATCATACAGAGGACGAAGGATGTGCATCGATACAACAGATGTCAACGCTGTAAGAAATGAATAGAGTGAGAGAGAACAAAACAATGCCAATAACACAACCTTAGTTGACAGCCTGTTCGCTTGTTGGTTTCAGCTGTTACCGTTCACACACAGTCCATTACTTATATATCCAAATAAGAGATATCTGCCGTGATAACAGTCATCTAGCTAGGTTCTAGATCAGCACGGCAATAAGTGCGACCTTTTCTTTTCAAAACCAGCAATAACAACTTAATATATAGTTAGACTTCCTTGTGCTCAGTCTAGGTCCCATATATAATAGATGCATTGTGAGTACATGCTCCCACATGATACTTAACGGATTGTCCTATTTTCACTGTCGGATTGACGGTTTTCAATCCTCTGTGGCAAGCCCATGCCTGCAAAGGGTCATTATCAGTAAGAGCTTTAGGAATCCAATATACACTTGCGGTTACATTATATAGAGTGGCTTGGGAACCTGTACCAGGAATCAGATGGATGCGTCGAGCAACCTCAAGCTTCTTTTTGGCATAATCCACATACATTTTTCGTCTTGGAATCTGAAAAACAAATTTGTTACAATTTCATTGTAGCATAGAACATGCGCAGAGTTTCAGGCCAGGTACCCAGCAAAGTAACTGTAGACTATCCATTAGCTAACCTTACTGTAAACTGCATCAGTAAAATGTTTCCTTAAAACTGCGCCTTCGCCACCATCTACGACCTAAAGGCAAACAGACAAGACAACAATGATGGGAGGGGAAACTACTTGGATAATGGAAGTAGTATATAGCATAAACATAGCAGTATGTCTACAAAATCATACTTACAAGTTCCCGAATGTGACCCATGCAGATATTAAACTGAAAACATAATAAGATGGCAAGTCATTAGCACTAAAACAAAATTACCAACAAAAACAACACAAAAGAAGTGGGAACATGTCTTAACATTTGCAGATATACACGAAACCTACATCACGGAGCATTAGGCCATATCCCTCGATCTGAGCTTGGATCCTAAACGAGCATGAAGAAGGAAGCTTATTTTCTGATGAAAGGATGTCCTTCAAAGCCTCTTTGAAACTCATCTGCTCGCACAAGGAAACATTAATTAAACATACAGAGTAGACAACAAGATAACACAAAAACAAACAATAATCAGTGATGTGTATATAAATTGCACAAGGCACAAGGCAGCCTGCCAACCTCTTGCTTAGAGGTTCGCTTCCAAACCTCAAAATAGACCAGATCATAGTCCTTTCGACAATCAAGATCATAGCGCAGGCCCCAAACATACTCCTGTGCCCAAAAAAAAAGACAATGGAGTCATAAAATGCATCGACAATAAGCATCACCTGCTACCATTATAAGTTAATAGCAGAACAGATGGATCTTACCTCATAGCCAAGAGTAGCTAAAGAAGCAGGCAAATGGCAGAAGCCTGCCGCAATCTTCATGGCTTGCTGTGCTCCCCTGTCATCATACCTCAAAAACTAAAGGGCAAAGGAGTCATGGGGGCGCTAAACTATGCATATACCTGAACTACATTCTTTCCCGCTGTTGATCCTTACCTGTTTATGATCTAGAAGCAGAGCGTCTTCAACCCACTGTCACATGGTCAAAACGTTGTCAGTCAATACAATTCAGCAGTAGCACATGTTTTTCAACTTTTTCAATAGGTAGACACACGATGCATACCTTCATACGCTTTGACAGTTCATCCCAGTACTTGACATACTCCTCATCAGTTTCATAGCAGCTAAAAGTTAAGCGGTACTTTTCCCAATCAGGATAATCGACAAAAAAATCCTGCCATCCAAATGAGAGAAGCAATATACGTGACTTAAAGGAACAATACTAGATCCTTCCATTTGATTAAGTACTCCAACACAATACAAACATGGAAAGAAAATGAGCATTCAACCTTTTGATGTAACTCAATATATACTTTGACTCACATATATACTGCTCAAATGAAAATCTATGTGATCACATTTTCAGAAACATACATACATATATATTTGCTTACTACAATTGAGAGGAAAAATTCAAGAACAATAAGGACAAAATAAAAGCTTATCCAGGCTTTTGACAAAACAAAACAGACTTCAAATACAATAACAGATTCAATAGTATGGACTTAAGGATTACGGATGTGCCACCTCTCTAGAGTGTGTTGCCATGTTTGCAAGCGCTATCTTATCCTATTTTTGGATATAAACTAGTATGAAAGAATTATACAATATATACGCTGCCATGGCACCGGTATTTAAGGTTAGTAAAAACTTCAGATGCAAATTCAAACATAAGTGGAATTGACTAGTATGAACAGTCGGCACAACAAATTACAACTAGCATTTTCAATTATCACACAAGTGATGTGTTAGCCTAGAAGGACAATGTTTGGCAAATAACTAGCATTGTTGAATATCACACAAGTGACTTGGACGACATGGGAATGTGAAAGATAGTGCCAACCACCAAAACATTTGACTCAACAAAAGGAAGAGTTTTTTAAAGCCCTTCGAAAGGTAATGTTCTATGTACTTAGTAACTTCCAGTTTGTGTTACGAATCTGGTATTATCCTTGTAATAAGGGCACGCAGAATTGAAGGAGAAACGAAAACAATATATTCAAAGCATGAGTAAAACCGCTAAAAGTGCATTCCAACAAATTGATTTTAGGGCTTGGCTGCTTAATGGCATTATGTGTTCAGATTTTTTTTCCCAGTTAGCCAGTGCTAATCCAAAGAGTTGTAAACTAGTCAAAAATTTATATGCGGAGAACAAGGATTTAGAATGTTGTTGTCCAAGGAAAATAAAGTAACCAATGATGAAGATGTAGCATTTCAGAAACAAACTTAGCAAAAATTTCCCTAGTTGAATAAAGACCAGGAAGCTGGTCACATGAATGGCCAACCGACGTGCAATCATGGAGGCTATTGCAAGTGATAGAATGTCATGCCCTCATGCAAAAGATCAGAGTAGCTCTTATAAATGATCGTGAGGCAACAACAACAAGAATTCATTTTGGATGCAGTTTAAATAAAGGGCGTAGCCAATGCAGAGAGCTCCCGCTCTGTGCGGGGTCTGGGGAAGGGTGTCAGTGGCAAGCCTTACCCTTGCCTGTGCAATGCGAGCAGACCGCGACTCGAACCCGGGACCTTCCGGTCACAGGCGGTAAGACTCTACCGCTTGCACCAGGCCCGCCCTTCGGATGCAGTTTAAATACCGATGATAAAACGGAGGTGATATTAAGTACTCACAGCTCTTGTAAGGACTATGCGTTGGTAGTCATCCAGCTCGGCGAGATCAAAATATTCGAGATCGTAGGTCCAACCGAAGATGCTAGGACCTGGCTTAAAGGGGTCATCCCAATCAAAAACCTCATCAGGGTACTCACTTGCTGGCACTGCAGCAGTGGTGTCATCCCAGTTGAGACTACCCTCCTTCAACCTCTGCACACAGATCGAACAAGGATTGATTTGAGGGCATCTATTGATTGTAAATAAGTGGAATTGAAATGAAGTGCAATACAAACATATAGTGTATATATTAAGCGGAGTACATATTTAATCATCAAATGTATAGACAGCAGGTAGATTATATGATGTGATGATATGGAGCAAGCTTGCCTTGTAATCTCTGAAGCGAAGGCCACAGAGGCGTTGATACACCTCATGACTGTCTTTGTCCTTTAGACGGGATGCAATCCGAACGTAGATGGGGCGCTTCATGAGGAGAGCTCCTGCCAGCAACGAGAGAGCTCCTCCTCGTCGATGTCGTCTTCGCCGAGAAGACCAACTTCTCCTCCCGTTCTTGCCCCCTTGCTCCTCCTCCCGGACTGGGGTCGGGTATCATTGTCGCCGCCCATCAACGCCGCATCCGTTGTGTCGCCGAGGATGAGCCAAGACCGAGAGGACGAGGAGATGGGCCGCCGATGGTCCTGCGCCTCTTGTCCCCCGTCCACATCGCCGAGCTGCTTCGTCTCCCATGGTCGACGACGGCGCCGCTGGGCGCCGCAACAGATCGGACAACGTGGGGCATCATCTCGAAGAACCGACGACGAAACCCTAATCTCGATCCCGAAGAACCGACGATGAAACCCTAATCTCCAACCACCAGCAATGATATATGAGAGGGAATACCTTTGTTTGGTGGTCAGGAGGATCGATCTGGAAAGAAAATTATTCTACGGCGACGACATCATTTCTACCTTGATGTCGCCGTCTGGAAAGAAAAGTCTCCATGTTGTCATGTCGGTGAAGTTGTTGACGCCGTAGTTGTCGCCCTCATCTTCAATAGAGCCGCTATGGAGAAAATGATTCCACCCTGCCCCCTTGCTGTCGCTGGAGAGGAGGAGGAGGAGGAGATAAAGCCCCGGTACTAAGAAATTTGTCATGGAGATACCATAACCCTAAAAACTCGATCTACTAGAAAACTTATTAAAAAACGATGGATCCCCACTCCCTCCTCAGGCCTCAAGCGAGATGCTTGGAGGGAAAGAGATGGGTACCAATGGTGGTGGATGGCTACAGCGGGCGGGCGGCGGCTTAGGGCTAGTCTCTCTAGAGGGAGACGAGAAGACGTAACTCTACCTCAATGCACATTTTCATGACACGGTTTTTGTTGATGAATGAAATATTGAGAGACGATATTTTTCATCAACAAAAATATGTAAAGGTGATGTGACACTCTTGAAAATTATACATTCAGACTGAGGTCATTGCCCTGGACTTCTTCCAATATGCGTGCAACTTTTTAAAAAAAACATGGCCCGCATAGGGCTCCTTTGAGAGTAAAACCCAGGATGGAAAACCCTCCCACTGAGAACTAGTAAGATGATAATTAAAATTAGGGAAAAATCTGGGATCCGGAGGGATAGGAGTTTCTAAACGAGGCGGTGTAGATGGGCAGAAATCTAGCTTAGTAGGCAGTTCGAACTTGGACTCCGGCCCATACGCCTCAGCTCGTGAGCCCAATCGTCCTGGCCCATCAACAAACCCCGGTGCTCTCGTCTCGTCGGCCGGCCCGGCTCCCTCGCAGCCCACCCTGCTGGCTTCCTCGTCCACCGCTGCGGAGCACGCAAACGCCCGCCCCCAGTTCCAATCTCGCCGCCGCCGGGTTGCCGTCCCGGCGCTCCGTTTCGCACAGCCAGGAACAGCCCCAACCCCGCCCCCGCCTCGATCCGGACTCGCCCGCGTTGGAGTTCCTGCTAACACCAGTTGGCGCTGGAACTGGGCATGCGTCTTTCTCGATCGACTCTCCTCAAATCCTATCTATCCGCGCGCGTATCTTCCTTTCTGCAGAGTCTTCTGCTTTGCAAATTCATGCCTGCTGCTTGTGATGGACGAAAACGTAATCATCGTTATTATTCGTTATATAAACGGATATTGCTATGCCACTTCATCATGCTTCAGATAGAGACCTGACCTGCTAGGCATATCTGCTACTAATAGAAGCATATTTAATCTAGTTATTATGAGAAATACAAACTATATTTCGACAGCTATCGAAACATCACTGTTCTAGTGTCTAGATGATACTGATTAGTCACTATTAGTTCAACACTGATTGTCAATTATGAGTTTATGAGATCTTCAGTAGTACTGCAACAACAAATAAAATGGCAAGGAACAACACCGTTTCCAGTTAAGCTCTGTGCAATGCAGGTACCACAGATGTGTTCCCCTCACATCAGCACATTATATATAATACTAATAGTACAGCTTGACAGTTTCCTTCCCCCTTTTGATGCTCATGGCATCACTAATATATATTTGTTCAAGTCTGTGTAGGAGATCAATCCTGATACCTCTCATAACTGCTGCCTCTATTTATTTGACTTTTCAAAGAGAGATTAATATACCACTACTGGCTAAACGGTTACCATAACACCATGTGTGATGCTAATATTTGGCTCTTACTTCTGTGCCTGATGTTTTTTTGCCATTGTTTTTTTCCCCATCTGTAGGAGCATTCCTATGGAGACGATCTCATCCTGTCCCATCTGCAATATACAAGTTCTTACGGTTGAGCTGGAATGGTAGTGGCGGATTCTTCTCCATGCTTCTGCAATTGAGCGTCTCCTCCCTTCTTTTTTTTCTCCCTGGCATTATACACAACATACCACTATCTTATGCAATGTTTGCCATAATCATTTGTAGGCATGCCAATAGCCACTTTGATGATGATCAACTCCAAAGGGACATGGAATTAGCACATCAGATGGCAATTGCTGAATCAAGTACAGGTACCATGGTAATCATCTCGCTTTGGCTGTTTTCTCTCACATTGTTTTAATAATAGTAGCTGTAGATCATGGTCCATTTCAATAATTGAAAGGTTTTCTCTGCATAGCACTTGCTGAATCTAGTAAAGATACCATGGAAATATTCTGCTCACAAGTTTATCCCTTTCGTATAAGAATAATATAGGTGTGGATCATTATTCATTTCAGTAGTACAATTTCTGTGTGGGGGGTAGGGGCGCCTTACAGTGTTCACATGTATTGTTTGAAAGACGCACATACTTACCTCCTAGTGCTGTTGCTGTTAAAACCTTCATCAGAGATATGCTTAGACTTCAGCAGAAAGTGAAATACTGTTCTAATTATCCTGGTCTGTGATCCACTAGTCCAGAAACGCCTTGGTACTTGATGTTTTGCATTCCTTGTTTTGGCAGGGTTATAATTCAGCTGATCTTTTGTGCAGAATGACCCAAAACGTTATAGTGGATCATTCACCAGTGACTCCAATACTCTAGGGGCCTCATCGAGTCATAGTGGATACTCACGCCATTACAGCGAGCTATTGGATGAACAAATCTCTTGTTTGATCGGAGCACAAATTCGAAGCAAAGTTCAAGAAGTGGAAGGCGGTATTATGAGCTTGTTGAGGGGCTGCTTGGAGTCAGAAGCTGGTTCCTTGACAAGTATGATATCAGGCTATATTGAGCATCATCAGAGTCTTTCATCAGAAGAGGTGCCGTTCACAGCCCACTATATTTTCAACATCATGGTCACTCAACCTACCACTATCTTATGCAATGTTTGCCACTATGTCTCCCTTTTGAGAAATGTTCTATCCCATAATCTGAAATGTTTACAGTATCTAGAAATAACTTTGTTATAGACTAACTAAAGAGGTGCCGTTCACAGCCCACTATATTTTCAACATCATGGTCACTCAAGGGCAATAGTTGGGATTCAAAAGAAAATGGGTCATCGTGGATCTCAAGAACGATACACCCTTTTGATTTTAGATTCTGGCCATGTAAGTTACAGTTCTCATTCATTTTATTGGTCTGAACTATTTTCCCTTTGTTGTCAATTAGTTGTGATTTAGTTTCACATTTAATTTGAAGCTCAGCTTATGGTGCAAGTTGGTTGGTTTCAAAGCTCAGCGAGTATTGTGCTATTTGGTATTTTCGTTCTTCACGCTTTTTGCTGAACAGTCACTTTGAGGACCACCAACATAAACTGAACATCAGGTGTCTAACTCTGCGTGCATGAATGTTTAACCCTATAGAAAATCTTGAGGCCCTCTTGCTTCTCATGTGAATGGACTCTTGTGGTGTTGATTGAGAAAGCAGCAGCTTAGATTTTGAAAGGACCTACCCACATTCGCTGTAACAAGTCGTTGTTTTGATGTGTTGCAACATATTGTGGATTATATTTTCTTTGCTTTGGTTCCTTATTTTGTATGCATAGTCCATTTTGAATAGACTTTGAATTGCTGTTTCTCTATCAGTACACTATTCAAATGTTTTCCTTAATGCCACAGATAACTGCAGATCTAGAAAGGTCTATAAGAAGCAAAAAAGGATGGCAGCGTCTGGTGAAGAGAGGTGTCCACACTCCACACACTCAGGAAGCCACAGTATCAGGTACATCAAATGGCCCAAAGTACATGAAATTAAGAAGGCTTACATGAATTTGTACATTTATATAATACAATTATCTGGTGTACATGTCATGTTATCAGTTGTGTTATGTGGATCCTGGAATTGCTAGTTCAGAAGAGATGGAGCAACTGAAGACTATTGATAGTATACTAGTCAGGTTTTAGGTTCCTGGTAAGTATGAAAACTAACCCTGTCTTTCTTTGTTTATACTAGCCATTGCTGCCCGCGCTTCGCTGCGAGTGATTTGCTTGGTATAGGAAACCTCATATTGCTAATATGTTTTCTCATCGTATTAGTACTTAAGGCTGGTGAGGTTGGTTGTCATTACATGGTGCCTATTCTAGTGGAAAGAAGTATTTGATGGAGTTGGGTTCCAGCAACTAACGCGCTTAGATTTGAAGTACAACATTGGATAGCATTACATTATAGGCGAAAATAGGAAAACTAAAACACAAATACTTTCCCTAACGGGAGGGTTTACAAAAAGTGAATTAGGATTCACTGTTCTTAGGTGAATCTACAACACGCGTCCAATAACTACGGATGACAACAACGACAAGAGGAGCATCCGAAGGCAACTAATCCACCTTGAAACCACGCAGCTTGACTCCTGTGCTCGGTGGATTCTTTTATTGTACTGGATATGGATCTGCAACTTCTCGCGCTAATGGTTGAGTGAGAGGAACTAAGGGGTCTACTTCTAACACTTCCGAAGGTGGAGGCGCTGGCAGTTCCACATCACCGGTTCTCCTTGTTTCAGTTGGGTGGATAGGGATCCCCTCCAAGATCGGGGCATCCCGCATTTCATCAACCAGCGCCCTCCGCTTGGCCCTAGTAAACAAATAGGCCTCACCCAGTTGATGAACATGCCGATCTTCGGCCTCCTTCAGAGCTTCTGACATTGCAGCCTCCCGCCTCTCAGCAGCTGCAGCACTGGCATGCGCTTCGGCGAGTTGCACCTGGAGCATCCGAGTGAAGATCTCGGCTTCTTCGGTGCGCCGGAGGCACGCCCTCAGCTCTAAGGCTTGCCGGTCATACTGCTCATCCAGAGCAAGCAGGTACGTGGTTAAGTGCACCATGGTAGGACTATCTTCTTGCGCATCACGACCTTGCAAAGCCTCCATGCGAGCCATCCATGGCCGCCGATTCCTATCCAAGGGTGGAAAGAACTTCATGGGGGTACGGGCAACGGGCTCTTCATAGAGCTGGCAAAGGTACCGCAAAGCTTTGTGGGCCATAACCTGGTAAGTGTCGGTGAAGCTAAATCCGGTTGCGGTCACACTCCAGGCTTCGGTGATGTCGGGGAACTCTTCACTCTTCCCAATGTAAACCGTAACCTCACACCGATCGGTGCCATGTTTCTGATACTCACGGCCCTCATACTCAGGACGATACTTGACTCCGAGCTTTTGCAGGGTGGCGTGCAGGATTCTAGGAAAACCCTGAACGTTTAGGCAGTAACTACTAACCTAGGTTCCTGCCATTTCTGGTCGTGGCTACAAAGAAGGGCCGAGTAAAAAGCTTGCTCAAAGAGAAAACCTAAGCGAGCTAAAGTGCGACGAGTGGTGGCACCAATGGCCAAGGCAGGCTTTGCTTATAAAGCCCGAGCGGTCTGTGGGCCTGGCGTGGTTCACTAGGGTTCTTGCGCAGGATTACTACGAACGAATCGACCAGATTTCGCTCGTTCGAGGTGAGCGACGTGTGGTGCCATTACTGAGTAGTACGACTGTAGGGCAAGGGTCCGACAAGAGCGCAGAAAAGGGGTACAAGGAGGCATGGGTCACTATTGACGTGGCTCATGGGTGAGCGCGGAGCACAAAGCCACAGTGTAGACCTAACTATGTAACGAGCACGAGTAGGCCATGCAGACTACGGCACGCGTGACACCTATGGATGGCGTAGCTGCTAGTAATATGGGATAACAATGCACAAACAGGCCATGCATTAATGCACATCCTATGCGTTTGAGGTGAGCGATGTCTGAGGCCATTAAAGACTAATACGGTTGTAAGCCAAGGTTCCGACAAGAACTCAAAAAAGAGTGCTACCGGCTAAGGCAGGGTCTGCTTATAAAGGCAGAGCGGTCTGTGGTCTTGGCGTGGTTCACCAGGGTTCCTACGTGGGATCACTACGAACAAATTGACCAAATTTCACGCGTTCGAGGCGAGTGATGTGCGGTGCCATTACTGAGTAGTACGATTGCAGGGCAAGCGTCCGACAAGAGTGCAGAAAAGGGGTACGAGGGGACGTGGGTCACTACTGACGCTACTCACGTGTGAACGCGGACCACGAAGGTACAGTGCGAACATATTTCTGTAACAAGCAGGCGTAGGCCATGCACACAACGACATGTGTGGCACCTAAGGATGGTGTGTCTACTAACAATACGGCACAATAATGCACGTACTACGTGGCTACACCTCAACTAACCACCTAGGTATGTAGTAGAATTTACAAGATTTTGTTCTTTGTGCCAGCGTGCTGGCACTTACTGGGCCTCATCATTGTATACATATAAGTATATAGTTCCATTGATGCGCACGTTCGTGTGTTCACCTAAACGAAGTACATTGCACCGGCCATTAAGGACTAATACGGTTGCAAGACAAGGTTCCAACAAGAGGGAAAAAAAGCGCGGGGAGACTTGGGTCATGGTAGGCGTAACCGCAAGCGACGCTAAGCACAAAACCATTATGGTAGATGTAGTAATGGCGATCAACCCCAACCACCGACCATCCTGGGAGTAACGTGGCCATGCATGTGTCCTAAATCGTAGCAGTTTAAATGGTCGTGCATGGTCCTGCATATTACTTAGAAACTACCACAACGTCCATACGAGTGCATACTACCTAGGTACTATTACAAATAGTACAGCTTGGACGGTGAATCGTTTTTATCTGATGGTAAGGAGAAGCGACATTAAATGTGTCCACCAACCCCAACCACTGCTTCTCGCGCTTCATTGCGGGTGATGTACTTGTTGTAAGAGATTCAGAGTGTTCCAAGTAGAGAGAGAGTACAACTAAGTGGCAAATGACTTAACCTCTTTAGCGAGACGGCCAGACGATTTTTAGCACTGAGAAAAAGCACTGGAAAGTTCGTCCGGTAGAACCAGAGGGCTCCTGGCTACGTTAGTGGCTTGTCACGGAACGGCCTCTAAGGCAAAAAAAAATTGGGCCCGCAAAGCTAGGTCTGGCCCATTGGGCTTGTAGGGTTCCTGTCTTAGCGACGTAGCGCGAGTCAAAGATCGGTCGCATCTTTTCCCAATCTCGCTGGGTTCACAAGGCGGCCACACGCCGATGCCTCCAGCAACACTCGCTTCGTCGTCTCCGCCGTCGTGCACGCCACCATGGTGGCACCGGTCGCGCGCCTCGTGGCCCGCCGCCTCCTCGGCCTCGCTTCCGCGTCTGGGTCGGAAGTAATCGGCCGTCGTCTAGCCTCGTCTCCGGTTAGCCCTCTTCTCTCCCAAACCCTACCCCCACTATTTCCCCAGACTAATCGTCCCGATGTCCTCTGCGAAACTTTCCTTCCAGATCGCCACAGCCTCCGGGGCTCAGATCCAAAGCACCGTGGCCTTCTCCACGGCTCCTAACTACGTGAGCACTTCTCGGATGCGTTCCCCGCTTTGCTGATCTGTTTAGTGGTTGATAGGTCGGTGAGGTGGCGGTGGCGATAATGGGACTATATACCGGTAAGGCATCTGTTCGGTTTCTTTGCATAATCCATGATCTCCTAGCAAGGAGTATCGACTAAAGGAATTACTTTCGGAATAGGGAACTTATTTAAGCGAGGCCACATGAAAATAGAGTTTTGGTCAGCATAGAGTATCGACTAAAGGAACGATTTGTGCATGGCAAAATTTAAGCACAAAGATCATCGGTGGCAGCGATCGATCAAAGAAGCAAAGGTAACTAATAAATTCCATTGAAGTTATATTATTATATCCTTTATATTGTAGCACTCTAGGGAGGCAAAGATTAACCTCTATGTGAATCGAACGAAGACGAACAATGTAGTCATGGAGAAAAGAGCCTTCGTGTTTTGCTATAACCTGAAAGTGATTTTGAGAATGTGGATTCATTTTTTTTTCCAGCAAACTTCACGGCTTTGATTGGGCAGCAAATGCCATACAAGTAATCTTGAGCTTTGCCATTACCAATTTAGATCATTTGCTAAAAAGTGCACTTGCTGGTGTCTAAGTAGCTGGACATGAAACCACACTACAATTAGTGACTCAAATTAAAAATTTCAATTTTGAATTCATGGCCGATTCTCAGATCAAACTTTATTATAGCTGAATTTTTCGAGTGCATGAGTGCTTCTCTGTTCCCTCGTGGTCTTATTCAATGATTTCTTAGCCACTTTACCACAGGAACATGATTCAGTGGATACTATTGATATATGTGAGATTGATCAACTGGTTATTGATGTAAGAATGACCACTTTACCTATGCTCAAAATTCAAGGTATAATAGTGTGAATATTTTTTTCTCTGATTTTCTCTCAAACTGTGCGGGTTTGCAAAGAATTCTTTCCAAACTTATCCATTGGATATAAAGATCCTCGTGTCCCACTTCATGTTGGTGATGGTATGTTGAAAAGCTGGTGCCTGGTGGTATTTTATATGATTGTGATAGGTTGTAGGATATGCCACTATTGTTTATAGCCTCAGACATATCGTTTCTGCAGGTCTTGATCTCTTATAGTTCATAGTATACTTGCTTTTGTTTTGCAGCTGTTGATTTCCTGAGGAATTCTCCTGAAGGAAAATATGATGCTATTATTGTCGATTCATCAGATCCAATTGGTGGGTTCTTGCTATCACATATTTTAGTAATAAGAAGTATAGAACTCTCTTGTACATTCGTTTATCACTTCATTCACATGTCATTCTTGATAAGGTTGCTTCTTGTTGATTTCTTTTGTTATCCTGTTATCTACAATAGCTGGGACTAGCGTAAATGAAAGGGGCATGGTAAGGTAAGCAACCAAACACCTGGAACTGAAGCTGCACTCTCCCCACGCTGCCTCTTGCTTGCCCGGCTAGAGGAAGCTCCTTCCATGTGCCATCAATGTGTGCCTGCACACATCGTTCGGAGCACCACAGAAATTGCAGAACGATGAGACTAAGGTTAGGAGAGGAGAGGACCCACGCAAACAGACGGAAAAGAAAATAAGAGAACAGGAAACTAGATGCACAGCAGCAAGGCCACGAGCAAGGGTACAGCCGCCACCTCCCAGGATCGAGATCAAGCGCTAAACACATATAGGCAAAGTGAAACGCTTTGTTCGGACACGATCAGAACATGTCTATATGCACAGAATGTGCTTGTAACGTTCATATGCGCACGCTAACTAAGCGACGTCTAATTCAAAGGCTTGTCAAGCAACTCGGCACGTTCATAGTTAGGCGTTAATTTTATAGAATCTTTCATTACGATAGGTTCACAGCACAGACCTATTGTGTCGTGCTTCCCTAGGCGGTGTCGCTGACTCGCCATGGGTGTCTACGTGTTCACGTGATGCTTTTAGTGTAACAAAGCCCGGAACAACGAGCAACGTCTTTGTAGGGCCACGCTATGTGAACTACAATTAGGGCGATTGCAAGCAATGGCGAGAAGCGATGAAGCACCGAGCGGCGAGCCACGTGCTTATATAGGCAAGAGCTGGAGGCTTGGATGAGGCATGGGTGCCTCCGCTACCAGTAGGTGCAAGGACCTCATCAATGGGAGTGGGGTCCAAACTAAATAAGGTGCGCATGCACGTTTGGATGGCCATGCAGTGCATGGGTACGAAGACGTTAGGGCCCAGTGGGTGCATGCGCGGCCGCGATCACACGAAATGTACCTTTTGTCCACTGCCAGGTTCACTTGAGGACCCTTCTAGGCGGCGCCTCCCACCTTACATAGCCTTTTAAGAGTCTATGTCAGAGTGTAGTGTGCACCTCACCGGGCCATACCGTACATAGGTTTGGGCGCCCACCCTAAATAGATTTTTAGGAGCCTGTGCGGTTTTACTACGCGCGCGCAGTGCACAGAGGACCACATTTTTTACCGCCTACATGCATACACATTAGGCACTCCTTGTATACCAGACCTTTCACCCTGCTGATGGTAGCGCAGGCGCACGACAGCATGTGGCCACAGTTCTGAAGCGAAACTACAGCGCGAGACATCGGTTTACGCTTTTTTAGACAACCATTCGAAAAGGCAAACTTCCTGCTCCCTGCTGAATTCCGCTGGAGAAACAAGCCTCTAGTGTGTCCACAACTGATCAACAAGCGGTGAAGCTTGTAATTTGACTGCTTATTAGGCACAAGGCTGATCTTTACATAACAACAAATCATGCGTTAGCCATGGCACCGACACCCAGCTGTACTGTGAACCATCGCAGCAAAGAACCAAATTTGGCCAGCGGAATATGTTTTTCGGATTACATTGATTTGAAGCTAGCTGATTACAATAGCATCTACTGATTTTTTGCTATCTCCAGTTCTACTCGCAAATGTCTAAAAGGGCTTGAGAAGGAGCTACCTCACTTGCGGCGTTTGGGAACTACATCCACAATCTCCAGTGTCCAGATTCACACCGAGCTTGTGCGACTGTAAGTTCCCAGTCTAGGTAAGGGACACAAGCGTGGTTTCGTTTTGGGCCCACACTCGTATGATATAGGTGAAGCCTAGCGTGCAATTTGGTGTTTCCTTTTATCTGTCTGACATCCAGAGTTTGGTATTTGGCTCACAACCTGATGACAATAGCTTTCCCATTTTATATCTCTGAACAAGAACCTTTTTTAAAAAACAATCTGTATGTTGCTAAGCTTTAGTTTTTTTTACCAAGAATGCAGCAGATCTGTTTATCATTATATTAAGAAGGGGAAGGGGAAGAACCCTTACAAACCACACACTCACACTCCCACAAAATGTTCTTCAACTCATCTTCTTACATTTGTTGTATGCTTTATTCAACAAGATCTACATTTTAGATTACCTACTATATGCTCCTTAGCGATATATTGGTTTGACCTTATGTTCTTTTCCCTGCTTCTATGATAGTATTGTTTACAGTGCGATGAAGTTGTAAGCATTTCCGAGATCGCATGTTGTTCTCGTGAGAGGTGCTTTCTTTGTAAATCCTCTATTGGTTCCAAAGGCCCCACACTGCACCGCAAATGACACTCAAACTGTGGAGGGTCTTCCATCATGAGAAATGCAAATGATATAATGAAGGTTCTCCCTACAACCACCACTATTTTCTAAAATTATGTGAAGTTACCCACAATATTATAAACCCAAGCATGCCATTGACTGGAAAGTTTAGAACCAATGATAATATCGATAAGCTTTCACAAGCATCGTCTACATTGCTAAATTCAATTGGGTGTTGTGCATAGTTCTAGATGCGATTAACTCTAGAAGTACTAAGTTACTTCCAGCTTTTCCCTTCCTCTGTAGAATCTGTATGTTTAGCTCTCCAATAATCACTCAAATGTGTAGAACCCATCTCCTAGCAGGTCTTTTTTCCGATTTTCTTCTAATTTACAAAATAAAGCAAGAAAAGAAAAGAGCGCCGCTCACCAAGGAGCTCCGCCACGCCGCTTTGTCGATCCCACCAGAGCCACAACCGCCTGTCTACCAACCATAGACCCAAAGGCGCAGAGTGTAGTGGAGGCGGTTAGGCCTCGGGGCCCCCTGCGTGGCGCTATCACAATCACATCTGCTACTTACGGAGGTGGTCGCAAGCAATAGGACAAGGTGCGGTTTGGTAGGTCATAACTCCCCTCCCTTGTCCACATTTATGGCATAGGACAGTTTGTCCAATGTACCACTCGGGTTGTCCACATCTATGGGACACCACAGGTTCTCTAGTATACGATTGCCATTTATGATGTAGCCTAGTTTGTCCAATATAGCAATACCACCAAGTCCCTTAAGTAGTCATTCTCGGAACTGCAGTGCGCAGACAGTTCGTGCATCCTGCGAATCGAGCCCCCTTATTAGAGTCTAGAATAGACACTGTGCAGCATGCTAGGCGCCGAGCGCATGGCAGCGTTGGTTGGTAACCAGTTTTGCCAGCCATGCCCACTACACCATAGAGCCTGCAACTACATCTGCCTGGATTGCCAAGCACCACATCAACAAGCTTTGTGCCTACACTGCCGAGCAGACCATGTATCCCACCGGACCGTACAGGTTCTAGGATTCGCCCTTTATACACAACTCTAAGCATTTCTTTATGGCTATCCCTAAGTAGGTTATGTTGAACTGAATAACCGCCAAACTCATCGTGCAGGTGCTAAAGAAAGCAACGAGAGACGTGCTACGTGTACAAGATGTGTCGAGTCTTATTGACATATTGGAGGTGCAACAGTGTGTCTGTAACGGGTGCAAAGTCGTTTACCTCAAGAAATGGTTTGGTAGTAAAGGCTCGGTGTTTAGGCCCAAGCCTCGGTACCACTGGATGTTTGCATGCGTTGGTTGCAGACGAAGACTGAAGAGCGCATATAAGTTTTGTTCCATTGGGTGCAAACATGTAGGTGCCTGTTTCCTCGCTTTTAATAAACAGTCATGGCCCTAAGCCTGCTGATCATTTCTTTGAGGTATTGTTGTGTAGGAAGGGGCTGCAACTCACACGGCACAGGACGTTGGCCTGCCCAAGCACCCATTCAAGGTGGAGGATGCCGCTGCATCTAGCCACTCAGCGCTTCCGAGGACATCACGCAAGGGTCGCCCGATACGCGCGCCATTTTTTTGACGCATACGCAACGGAGGAGGAGCGTACAGCTAGGAGCCAGTATGGAGAGCATAGGTCTGTAATCAGCTACGTCGTTACACGTCTATCGACGTTTGTAATATATCGATGTTTGTAATATATGACTGCATCAAATTAGACCTTGTTTTAGTAACAAACCAGGCTACTGCATCACACGGGCCAACTGTGCGCATGCACCGCTGGTATGGTATCCATCTCTCGCTTTTCAGCACGCAAACAATGCGTGGGCAGGAACTAATTGTGGTTCTAAGAATGGAAGCAAGGGCTCGCATAATAGGTTTTACATGTGTTGGTAGCACTATGTTTTTTGGCCATGTGCGGGCAACATCTAAGGCTTTCTGGATACGGTGACACCGCAACCGGCCGACTTGCCCGGCAGGGTAGGGCCCAACCTACCAGAGGTGCAAGCGCGCGGCTTCCGCCTGGAGGTGCCCGCCGGCAGGTGGTAGGGGGCAGCGGCAAGACCGGGGCGGGGCCTGGGCTAGCAGACAGGCAACCGGCCTAGGCGCCGAACTGGGGCCTGACTGGCGCTTGGTCGCAGGAACCCAGCAGCCGGGTATGCAGGCAGGCAAAGCTGGGCAAGCAGCGGACGAGCAGAGGAGGGTGTCAAACCTAACCAACTTCCCTAGCTGAGACCATGATGTCATGGAACATCACCTATATAAGGCCTAATAAACCACGATCATACGATCGAACCCTGGTTTGGATGAAGCTTCGCAAGTAGAGTCATTCTTCTTCTAACCAAACCATCCTAGCCATCGACTAGACCAAGCATCTTTCTCATGATGAGCGAGTAACCACCCATAGATATTGGTGGACTAAACAGGTAACGAGGAGTGGAAACAAGGACGGGTTGGGGCCAGGGCACTGCATAAGGGACGTGCACATAAGAATCGACCAGCGATGCATGCATGCAAAGAAAGTACGGCCCCAGCAGCGTGCATGCACGCGTACTCGGATGCATGCCGACCAGCATGCTAATTAGACACCGCCCATGCATGCGACTATCCAGCGTCGCTTCCTAGGCGCCACCGTCCATTTGCATGCCGGGTACCATGAGAGGCACCGTACATCATTTAATGTGACCACTTGCTTATGAAATAGTTTTTTTACATAAAGGACACGTGGAAGCACAGCTATGTAAGTGCCGATACCAGCGAAGTTGTTTACGTGAAAGGCGCAGGCAGATGGCTCATACATGCATGCAAAGCAAGGCCCCAGCAGCATGCAGGCACCCGTACTCGCATGCGTGCCGACCACCATGGCATGCATGCCAAGAATCCACCGCCATTTACGTGCCACGTACAATCACCTTCCTGGGTATTCCATGGCTGCAAACAACAAAGTAATATATAATACCACGGAATTCAAATATTACGATACCATATGGATACGCGGCATGCTAGCATGATTTACATCCTACATGTAACCTGCAAGGAACGCAATATTCTTCTTTGAATCAAATATGGTATCATAATATATGAAGTCACCCATATTATCTTACTCCTCATGGGGCTTGTAGCTGTCTCGTTATTCCACGGTTCAGATGACACGCGTCTCAACCGGCCAAGCGAAGCAGGTGGCCACATTAAATGAAGTAGGGTGCCTCCAATGGTATGGGACATGTAAATGGACGGTGGCGCGTAGCAGGTGACGATGGATTGTCGACATGCATGGCTCGTGCCTAACGCGTACATGCATGCTGCTGGGCCGGCCTCGATTTGCATGCACGCATCACTTGTCGATTTGTGTGCACCGTGGCCCCATCCCGTGCTCATTTCTGGTTCTCATCCCATCCCCATCCCCATCTCCATTTCTGAGACGCCTGCGCGGGCCGTAGAGCTCGGCGAGAGATAGAACTTGACAAAGCACTACTTCTCCTGTTTTAATTTTTTTTTGCAAAACAAAGTTAAGTTCCTCGAATAATACTCTCATGTCGCTCAATGTGTTATATATCCTCACCAAAGGCGCAAATAGTTTGCCTTCTTCTATAGCACCCTAAAGTTTCAGTTTTCATAAATAGCTTCAAGTGATTTAATTTTGTTTAGCTTGCTTGGATTTTATATAGGAAAATAAGCGTGTTCAGAACTAAAGTTAGAAAGGACTATAAATTAGGGACCATGTATGTTGCGTTGGCGCTGGTTGCACCTTGTGTTTTATGAGCGATAAAATGCTTAAATACGTTTGGCCATCATCTAATCCTTTTCGGGGTTTTTTCGGATACAAATATGAAAATAGTTTATATAAATCTAAGTCAGAGCTCATGATTGTTTGACTAATCGCTAGCCGAGACTTCCGTTCCCTCTGGGACCGAGGGAGTATGGAGTAATATTGCCAGGTAGAGTAGTAGTAACTTTTAGGCAGATGCCGGCTTTACTCCTGGCAGTTTGTGGAAAGTACTCCAGTAAGCAGCAAACCAGTCGAACTCCTGTGGACATTCTCGCATTGCTACAGTTCATTATGATTGAACACTATGTACACTGCGCTTCTCGGATTGTTTAAGCGCCGTGATGACGTGGAACTGATCTCATAACACTACTAACCGTATTTCATTTAGTGACTCTGTTTGCCTGTTTTTCCTACCAATCAAAGGAGCAAAAGCATATACGTACCAATGTGCTACATAAAAATCCTCGTAGCAAGCATGGCCTCGGATTTATCGAGCCTAGTTTACTACACTTAGATCTGTCTCATGAACCCGTCAATGATGCACTCACGGACGCCGCCGTTCCATGTCTCAAACTGTTTACCGCCGGGTTCGCTAGCAAGCAAGCAAATGGGCATGGCGCTGCACCGATGGCGAGGCCAACCAAGGTTGGAACATGCATCCACGCATTGTTGCTATCCGAGGAGGTAGCCAACCATCCGTCCGATGGATGCAATCCAATCGAGGAGCAAGCCGGCCGTCGCGGTACAAAATTAATCGAGGCGGTGAATCCGTCCAAGATTCACATGACCGTCGCCGCCGCCATAATCTGTCCTTCTCCTTTGTACGTGGATGGATGCCAATGCCACGCCATGGTCCCGGCGCCCGTGCACCCGGCACCGGGACCAAACCGATGCAAGTTCCTTTCTCTGCGCCGTCTCTCGGCCTTTCTCATTTGCCTTGTTGAGGTCTTCTAGGTCCGAAACTCCTCCCTCGAGAGCCTCTCCAGTGTGGAAGTTTATCTAAAGGTCCACCACTTGGTGAGTCTCAACATGATCGTGGGATCGGACGGGACAACAGATCGAGCAAATCCCATACCGTTCGGTGTAAACAGGAAACAAGTTGTAAATGACAAATATGGATAAGACACCAAGCATAGGCATCA